CCGCGCGTGCCCAGCCCCCTCCGAGCCGAGCCGAGCCGAGCCGCGATCCGAGCCGCTCCAGGTTTTTTTTTTTATTTTCATTTATTTTTTTTATTTTTTATTTATTAGATTAGGTTTATTTAATATTTTTTTTATCTTTATTTTGGTTTTACTTTCCTTTATTTTTTATCTTTATTTATTTTCACTTTTTTATTATTCTATTTTCTTTAAATAAAAATCAAAATTTCCAAAAAAAAAATATTTTTGGGGAAAAGTTGAAAGTATCAATTTTTCTTAAAAATAAAATTTCAAAAAAAATATTTTTGGGGAAAAGTTGAAAGTATCAATTTTCCTTGGAAACTAAAGCTTCAAAAAAAAAATATTTTTGAGGAAAAGTTGAAAGTATCAATTTTCCTCGAAAATCAAAATTTTCAAGAAAATATTTTTAGGGAAAAGTTGAAAGTATCAATTTTCCTTAAAAAAAAAATTTCAAAGGATTTTGGGGAAAGTTGAAAGTATCAATTTTCCTCGAAATTAAAATTTCAAGAAATATTTTTGGGGAAAAGTTGAAAGTATCAATTTTCCCTGAACAAAAAAAAAAAATTCTTCTTTTCTTCTATTCTGATTTTGATTTTGATTTTTCTTTAAATAATCCGACGACGGAGCCTCTGCAAGTGAAACAGTAGTTTTTCTTGCATACTCTTGAGGTGAGGGAATTTTCTCAATTTTTTGCTAAAAGTATTAGAGTCAATTGAGGATAATTTCCAACAATTAATTACTTGGTAAAATTTTAAGGCTTACTGGATAACACAAATTTAAGCTGGTACCATCATTTGATGGGCGTTGTGAGGGTGCTATAACCTTCCTCACACGTAACCGAACTCTCGAACCCTGTTCTGGTTAGCAGACCCGAACCTATTCTTTTAGGGACCCTTAAGCTTAGGTGTTCCCTAAAAGGACAGATTCTTTAGGTGGCCAATCGCACCTAGATAAAAAAGATTGGTGGCGACTCCCTTAAGTCAATGTCTAGCGATAGATCCCCGGATCTAGACGTTATGACAGCTTTTTTTCTTTCTTTTTTTTTAATTTTTAATTAGATTAATTTATAACAAAATGTGAAGAAAGATTGAGATGCCAAAACAATTTATATTCGAGAGGTTTGGTCCATCTCGATTAAATAAGAGACAATTTTTTTAGATCGAGATCAAGTTGAAATAGATCTTGTTTTTAAAAGAAAAAAGAGATTAGGGAGGAACCATGTTGAGGGTGATCTGTCTTGACCAATTTAAAGTATACATAAAAGTATATTTTTATTATTGATTTTATTTTTATATATTTTATTAATAAGGTGATTATTTGGTACTTTAATTTAAGAAATTTTAAAACAATAATTGTGAAATAAAAAAATATTACGAACATATTGAAGGTTTTAAAATTTAAAATTGATTTTTGAAAAAAAAAACTTACCAACATATTAAACGGTTTTTAAATTTAAGAAAAATGAAAATAAAACAATACCAATATATTAGAAGGTTTAGAAATTTAAAAATTACTTTTGGAAAATAAATTAAGAAAATACATACAAATGACTTTTGCAAGGTTTGTTTTATAAGGTCAATGTTTACTTTGTATGATGCACCTCATCAACCTTTAAGCTTGAAGCATAATGAATTACTTGTTGAGGCATAAAAGTGCAAATGTTTAACCTAACTAGTAGTAAAGGTGTAATTCAACATGGAATAAAGAATAGAATAAAGTATAACTTAAATGGAAAAAGAATATTAATGTAAAAGACATCGATTGTTTTGTTTAAAAATATCGCCAAAATGTTGGAAGGTTTTAAAATTTTTAAAAAATAATTTTGAAATAAAAAAATCTTACCAACATATTAAAGATTTTAAAATTTAAAAATGATTTTTGAAAAAAAAAAACTTATCAGCATATTGAATGGTTTTAAAATTTAAGAAAAATAGAAATAAAACATTACCAACATATTAGAAGATTTAAAAATTTAAAAATGACTTTTGAAAAATAAATAAAAAAAATTACATAAAAATGATTTTTGCAAGATTTGTTTTCTGAGGTCAATGCTTACTTTGGATGATACACCTCATCAACTGTCAAACTTGAAGCATAATGAATTACTTGTCAAGGCACCAAAATGCAAAGGTTTAACCTAACTAGTTGTAAAGGTATAATTCAACATGTAATAAAGATTAGAATAAAATGTAACTTAAACAAAAAAAGAACATTAATGTAAAAGACATTGGTTGTTTTATTTAAAAACCTTACCAAAATATTGGGAAGTTTTAAATTTAAAAAAATAATTTTGAAATAAAAAAATCTTACCAATATATTGAAGATTTTAGAATTTAAAATTGATTTTTGAAAAATAAAAAAGCCTAGCAACATATTGAAAGGTTTTAAAATATAAGAAAAATGGGAATAAAATATTACCAACATATTCAATCATTTAGAAATTTAAAAATAACTTTGGAAGATAAATAAAAAATTTACATAAAAATGAATTTTGTAAAGTTTGTTTTCTAAGATCAATGCTTCCTTTTGTATGATGCACCTCATCAATCTTTGAACTTGAAGCATAATGAATTACTTGTTGGGGTACAAAAATGCAAAGGTTTAACCTAGCTAGTAATAAAGGCATATCTTAACATGGAATAAAGATTATAATAAAGTATAACTTAGAAAAAGAATATTGATGCAAAAGACATTTGGTTATTTTATTTAAAAAAACTTATTAAAAAATTGGAAGATTTTAAAATTAAAAAATTGAAATAAAAAAAAATCTTACTAACATATTGAAAGGTTTTAAAATTTACGAAAAATAGAATTAAAACATTACCAACATATTAGAAGGTTTAAAAATTTAAAATAACTTTTGGAAAATAAAAAAAATACATAAAAACTATTTTTGTAAGGTTTGTTTTCTGAGGTCAATGGTTACTTTGTATGATGCATCTCATCAACCTTCAAACTTGAAGCACAATGAATTACTTGTTAAGGTACCAAAATGCAAATGTTTAACCTAGTGTAAAGGTATAATTCAATGTAGAATAAAAACTAAAATAAAGTATAACTTAAATAGAAAAAGAAAATTAATATAAAAGATATCAATTGTTTTATTTAAAAATCTCACCAAAATATTGGAAGTTTCTAAAATAAAATAAAATTTTGAAAAAAAAAATCTTACCAACATATTGAAGGTTTTAAAATTTAAAAATGATTTTTTGAAAATAAAAAAATCTACCAGCATATTGAAATGTTTTAAAATTTAAGAAAAATAGAAATAAAACATTACCCATATATTAGAAGGTTTAGAAATTTAAAAATAACATTTAGAAAATAAATTTAAAAAATTACTTAAAAATGATTTTTGCAATATTTGTTTTCTAATGTCAATGCTTATTTTGTATGATGCACCTCATCAACCTTCAAACTTGAAGCATAATGAATTACTTGTTGAGGCACCAAAATGCAAAGGTTTAGCCTAACTGGTAGGAAAGGTATAATTCAACTTGGAATAAAAGATTAGAATAAAGTATAGCTTGAATGAAAAAAAGAACATTAATGTAAAAGATATCATTTGTTTTATTGGAAAACCTCACCAAAATATTAGAAGGTTTTAAAATTTATAAAATAATTTTTAAATAAAAAAAATTACCAACATATTGAAGTTTTTAAAATTTATGAAAAATAGAAATAAAATATTACCAACATATTAAAAGGTTTAGAAATTGAAAAATGACTTTTAGAAAATAAATTACATAAAAATGATTTTTGCATGCTTACTTTGTGTGATGCACCTCATCAACCTTTAAACTTGAAGCGTAATGAGTTACCTTTTGAGGCACCAAAATGTAAAGGTTTAACCTAGCTAGTAGGAAAGGTATAATTCAACATGAAATAAAGATTAGAATAAAGTATAACTTAAACAGAAAAAGAACATTAATGTAAAAGAAATTGTTTGTTTTATTTCAAAACCTTGCGAAAATATTGGAAGGTTTTAAAATTTTAAAAAATGATTTTGAAATAAAAAAATCTTACGAAATATTTAAGGTTTTAAAATTTAAAAATGAGTTTTGGTAAAAAAAAAAATTATCAACATATTGAAAGGTTTTAAAATTTAAGAAAAATGGAAATAAAACATTTTCAACATATAACATATTAAAAGTCTTAGAAATTTAAAAATGATTTTGGAAGAGAAATAAAAAAATTACATAAAAATGATTTTTGTAAAGTTTGTTTTCTAAAGTCAATGCTTACTTTGTATGATGCACCTTATGGGCCTTAAACTTGAAACATAATAAATTACTTGTCGAGGAGCCAGAATGCAAAGGTTTAATCTAGATAGTGGTAAGAATATAATTCCACGTGGAATAAAGATTAAAATAAATTATAACTTAAATGGAGAAAGAATATTAATGTAAAAGACATCGGTTGTTTTATTTAAAAACCTCATCAAAATGTTGAAAGGTTTTAAAATTTTAAAAAATAATTATGTAATAAAAAAATCATACCAACATATTAAATGTTTTAAAATTTAAAAATGATTTTTGAAAAATAAAAAAATTACCAACATATTGAGAAGTTTTAAAATTTAAGAAAAATGAAAATAAACCATTACTAACATATTAGAAGGTTTAAATATTTAAAAATGACTTTTGAAAATAAATTAAAAAAATTACATAAAAGTGATTTTTACGATGTTTGTTTTTTGAGGTCAATGCTTACTTTGTACGATGTCTCTCATCAACTTTCAAATTTGAAGCATAATGAATTATTTGTTGAGGCACAAAAATGCAAAGGTTTAACCTAATTAGTAATAAAGGTATAATTCAATATGGAATAAAGATTAAAATAAGGTATATTTAATCGGAAAAGGAACATAAGTGTAAAAAAAAAAAATTTATATTGCAATATAATGAAGTTATTCTATATTTGAAGTAATAGGCAAGGCACAATGATTGGAAATTTGGAATATTGAGAGGCAACGAAAGATATAAAAAGGCAAGACGGTTTATGATAATTTTGCCTGCCTTGGCTTAATTAGATCGAATAAGAGAGCCAACCTTTTTTTTTTATTATTATTTTCATATTTAAGTCTAATATTCAACCAACAAACCACATCAACTATAGGCAAATATGACGTCTTCATCCTTCCCCACCTGCATCTACATGAACCATGATATGTTCCAAGCTGCAGAAGATGGAAACTGGGAAGTACTCGGTGGTCTTGAATCTCTTGACCGCCTGGTGGACGGAAGGCAGAACACAGCCCTTCATATTTACTCCAGAACCGGGGAGGCAAGGTAGTTACTTTATGCCACCAGAAATATAGATTGAAAAAAATGCCATCCCTTAACTTTCTCAGGCAACTCGTCGACAAGTGCCCATCACTGCTATTACAACCCAATCTCAACGGGGAAATCCCATTGCACATTGCAGCCACAAATGGGCATTCTGCTATTGTGAAATTCCTTATTGAACGCACCAAACTTCCTCAAGATGAAGATCTGGAGAAGAATTTAGAAGCAACCAGGGTAAGGCAGATGCTGACTATGAGGGATGATCAGGGAAATACTGCTTTGCATAAGGCGGCTCGATATGGTCAAGTTGAGGTGCTGCGAGAATTGATGAAGGCATTAAACTCTCATCATCATTACTTTTCAATATTCTCCGCTAATAAAAGCGGTGAGACTCCACTCTACATAGCCGCCATTGAAAAATATCCTCTTTTTGTGGCTGAGTTATTGCATACTTGCAATTCAACGTCAATGCCTTACGGCGGCCCCCATGGTAGAACAGCTTTGCATGCAGCAGTCATGGCCGGATATAAAAGTAAGCTAGCTCATTACTTATTTGCTCATATTTCTTTTTTCGACTTCTATTAATTTGTTTTCATGCTCATTTGATTTTAAAATGAAAATAAATAAGGGACAATGATATCGAATCTAATTCTATCAGAATTAATTTTAGAAAAATTAATCTCATCTTTGAATTGTTGAATTCAATAATAGAAAAAATTTGATATTAGTTGATCCTATCTCATTTATTTAATAATATTAAAGCATACCACACATTTGAAAAACTGTAAACTGAAACCAGGTATTTTGTTTACTAAATTTTAAATGTCATTTAAATTAAAATTTTTATCATAACTTCAAATTTTAATAATAAAATTAGTATTTTAGATACAAAAAGAAATTTAATTATTTAAATTATTATCATTAAAATAATTATTTTTGGATAATGATTTTCAGATAGCTTTTATTGATTAGTTTATCAAATAATGGTAAAGTTAATTAGAGTTTATGAATAATTAAACTTCATATTATATATATATATATGTATGTGCGTGTGCGTGTGCACATGCATGTGTGTGAGATGTTTTTTTTTTTTTTTTCAAATCATTTTGGATTGACTTAAACATTAATAGTGTATATACTCATATTTTTTATTAATAAATTTTTTGTATAATGATTATTTAAATATCTCTTAAATGGTTAATTATCAAACGGAGCAAAATTCACACTCCACCTTTGATCTTATACAAGTAAAAGTAATATTATACATTTTGCTAAAGTAGTATCATACATTTTGCTTTGAATTTGAGTTTTCATTTATAAAAATATTTTTTTTATCTAAACACCTTTTTCTTATTTTGAAAGTAAAAAAATAGTTATTTGTTATCTGTTCAAACCTATGCACATGTGGACATTCTGGAGCTCTAAAATTAAGGATAGCATTGTATACAATCACGTTATAGAATTATCGCATTATATAACATTATTGAATCTTTAATTATATCTTAAATTGACATGGCTACTCTTAAACATGTTTATAAAATTTTAACCTGGAGTCTTAATTCTAGTATCAAATCAGGGCTCTAATTGTCTAAAATTCTTAATACTTAAAAAATTAAAAACCATCTATTTCTTGTGTATAAATAATATTTATTATATTAATTTTACTTATTATTTTTTAATAGATATGTGAAAATGATAACACATTGAACTGTTTTTGTGAAAATTTAAAAAATATTTTATTAATATAATATAATAATATAATAAACCAAAATCACCAATTTTTTTTTAAGTAATTAAATTCCTTCTTGATCACTTAAGTTTCTTTTAGAAAAAAAAAAACACAATTATTTTGCTTACTCATGAACTTATGAAAAATAATGTTTTGGATACTCAGATTTATAAGTGTTTATTCTTTTGATCACTGAGTGTTAAAATGAATTGTGTTTTGTTAGGGACAACGGAAATACTGTTAAAGGAAAAAATGCATTTAGCCAAAGAAACCGACGATAAAAGGCGGACTCCACTTCACTATGCTGCGCATTTGGGTCGCCGTCCAATTGCGAAACTGTTGTTAGAGACCGATGCATCTGCTGCTTATATGACTGATGAAGAGACAGGCACGACGGCACTTCACATGGCAGCTTGGCGAGGACATTTAGGCGTAATGGAAGACATTATCACCTATTGTCCAGGTTGTCGCGATATTGTTGACAAAAATGGCAGGAATTATCTTCACTTCGCCATCGTTGCTTTAGAAGCCACACAATTTATGATCTTAATAAAGGGTTATATTAACAGTGAGGAGATTTCTCTTCGAAATCTTTTGCACCAAAAGGATGTCAATGGGAGCACGCCTCTCGATGTCATTAATTTTGGACCTACTCATCTGCGCGTTAAAAGTACTATTTATGCAGCTAGTTATCTTAAAGCTCATGGATTTGGACGACTGGTTTATGGAATTTCAGATCCAAAAATGGAGGTAGGCAGCTGGCTCCATCCTGCTTAAATTAATTTTTTCATGTGGCCTTTTTTTATATATTGTTGGTGAAGTTTTTAAATTTTCATCAGTGATATTGGAATGTTGTCACATACATATCCTATTACGTACTTTTTATATAAATTTCTTAATCTTTTTTAAAAATGTGGCATCCTCTAACTTTGCAGGTGAAGATTTTAAATTACATTGGTGATGGATGAGATAATTTTTTTTTATTGTATATACATACATAATATAATAAAATTTTGTGTCAGTTTCTTAATTAAAATAAAAAATTTATAATATAATGTATCAAATAATAATTTTTTGTTTGTATAAGAAATTTTACTATGCTTCACCCCAGGATTTTACTTTGAAAATTAAACCTTAAGCTCTAATTATTGAGATGTCTTCTTAATTAGAGACAAATATCTTAGTAGCAAATAATGGAAGGTAAATATTTGATCAAAAGATTGGATAGAAATAAAGATAAAGTTTGGTTTATGAAGTTTAAAAATCCCATCTCTAATGTATAGATGACAAACGCTAATCATTAAGCCTGAAATTGACGATTAATGATAAATATGTTATGCAGAAACTGGTTCAGGAAATGTTGAAAGAGATAGGGGATAAAGCAGAAGTGGCAGGGGTACCGGTTCACAACTCCTTCCGCGAGTGTTTTGTGGGGAAGGATGATGAGGCCACAGGGGAGAAAATCGAGATTCTGAATAAAGCAGCCGATACCCATTTGTTGGTTGCAACGCTAGTAGCAACCGTAACATTTACTGCAGCATTCACGGTGCCTGGTGGATACAAGAGCGAGCAAGGCACTGCAACCTTAAGTCGTGACTCAGCTTTTAAAGCCTTCATTATTACAGATACCCTCGCATTTGTTTTCTCCCTTTTAGCCATCGCCCTGCATTTTACTGTAGCGTCAGAATCTAGGAAGCTAGTTCAATTGCTTCTTAAGCATATTCAAATGGCCGATTACTTAACTTGTCTCGCAATGGCTGCCATGGTGATTGCTTTTAGCACAGGCACTTACGCTGTGTTAGAATCTTCCTCGGGGTTTGCTATTGCTGCTTGTTCCCTTGGGATCAGCTTCTTTGCCGGCCTGATCATTGTAACTTTTAATTCTCGCCCGGTTATTCGCCCGTTAGACTACTAGTCCTAAACCACAAACCTTGTGGAAAATAAAAAATAAAATAAAAAAGACTTTTCTTTTTTATATATGAAATGCAATTTATTTAAACAAAATAATAAACAAATAAAATGCAAATGTTTATTTCTATATATATGAACCATACGAAATAAAGGCTATTTCAATATTCAAGGATTCAATATATATATATATATATTATTTAAAGTTAATAAAAATTAATATTCAAGAATGATGAGACTCGAGCAGCCAAGATGTGCCGAGGGAAACAAGAGAGAATAATAAGGAGAAAGAAAAAAAGAGGAGCTTTTGTTCTTTTATTGTAATCTACTTTTCTGGAGTTGGTTTTAGGGTTTTGGCTATATACCTATCTATCCAATATTATTATTAAAAAAATACATGTAAATCTCACGGATTTTACGCTTCTTGTAGTGAGGAAAGGCGGATTTTGATATGTCCAAGGGTCGAAAGGATACAGATCCAAATCAATTCGACTGAGCTTGGGTCAAGAAATTAAATGTTTGAGTTCGACTTGATTTTAAATATTTAAAAATTAATAAAATATTTTATTTAATATTTTTAAAAATTCAAGTCTACTGAATCGAGTGGAACTTAGATAAGGATTTTCCAAGTCCAATAATATCAGACGTTGGATAAAACCTCAGTCATTATTGTTTATATTATAATTTTTTGAAGTAAAGAGACTTCTCAAAAGTGTTTGGTCGCATTAAAATAAAGCATGAACTTAATAAAAGTTAAATTAATTTTAATTATAATTTTTTATTTCAAGTTTTCAACTAAATATTAAATGTGCATGTTTTTCCTTTCCTTTTTAACTTATTATAATTTCCTCTTTTCATATAATTCTTCACTTTTAATTTTATTCTAAAATTGCATCTCATGTTTTTCAATTCAAAAATTAAGATTGAGATCACTTTATAAATGATTATTATAAAACACGATACCTTCTAATCTCAAATTTTCTCTCCACTTTTCCAAAAGTGGTTTTCAAATTTGATAATAGTTCTTAACAGGAAATCTTTTATGTAAATGTTACAAATTTACGCAAGAAATCACTACTTCTTGGCCATGTGGCTTTTTACGTGCAATCCCTTGTTTTTTTTTAATGAGGTCCATATGTATTTTTTTTTATTTTAAAAGTGTGGGTCACATTTTTTTCTTGTTAAATTTTTTTAGGGTGTGAAATCCACACCTTGGTTTCCCCCTTTTTTTTTTTCTTCTTTTTTTTAATTAACGTGGCCTACGTACTTTTATTTTTAAAAAGTTTTTAAAAGTGCAGGGCAACATTTTTAAAACTTTTTCGGGTGTGGGATCCACGTCTTCGTTTTATATTTTTATTTTTGGTTTTTTTTTTCATTTTTAAATTTGCAGGGCCCATCCGTTTTTTATATTTTTTTAATTTTTAAAAGATGTGAGACCTACATTCTTCTTTTGGGTAGGATTTATTTTTTACCCAACCGATTTTTTTATTAATCTTTAACTTTTTATTGTGGGCCTATATATTTTTTAAATGTAATAAAAATATTATATTTAGACATATTTAAAATTTAATTCATCAGTGCATCTAACTTTTTTATAAATAAATCATGTATATGTATGGATATACATTAATTCCGAATCTTACCCACATTATTTTTTTAAGGTTGATACAAGTAATTTCTTTAAATTTTTTAATAAATCTTTTTTAGGGGGTGATATCCGTTTTTTAAAATTTTTTTTCTTGAACCATCTTTTTCGTTTTTAAATATGAGACTCCCTTTTTTTTAAATTTTTTTCCTGTTTAATTTGTTTTTTATTTTATTTTAATTCTTTTTTAACGTGATCTTCTTTTTCAATTTTTTCGTTGAACTTTTTTTTTTTTAATTTTTTCTTTGGTATCATGTGTTATTTATTTGTTTTCTTTTTTAAATGTTTGATAAATATTTTTTATTTGTTGGAAGAATCAAATGATATAAAATTTTATCCATTTTTTTCTCCTTTTCTATGGAAGATTCAATAATTTTTTTTTTTTACTTTTATTGCCTTTTTTATATAAAAAAAGGTATGCCCTGTATTTTTTTTATTTTTTCCATTTTTTATATATTTAATAAAAAAATTTTAGATTTAATATTTTATGACTAACTTGACCTTGATTGTATGTTACATATGAAGTTATTTGATTTTTTTTCTTTTGCTTTTTAATCTTTTTTCTATTTACTATTTTCCCTTTATTTATTTAATAAAAATTGAAATATATTTTTTAAAAATTTAAGACTCATTTTATATTATTATTAAAATTATTTTTTGTTATGTTATTAATTTTTTGCAAAAAAAGATACTGACAAATATGTTGATGTTACATCTAGATTTAATTTTTTTCGTTCTTTTCTAGATTTAAATTTTTCTTGTTTTGAGATCCACTTAGATACTAAACGTACGTCACATGTTTACTTTTTATTTTTTTCCTCTTATCTATTATTTTCTATTTTATATTTAATAAATATTTTAATGAATTTAAGATTTTTTTTGTGTGACCCTTTAATGTTAAGTGTATATCACGTATCTAATCATTTGCTTAATTTTTTTTTTCAAATTTTTTACTATTATTAAAATTTTTAAAATATTCTAAAATTTCTAAAAAATTAAGTTTCATCTAATCTTATTGATTTCATATATATTTTTTATTTGATAATTTTGAAAAGATGATATTACGGATTTGATTTTTTTTTCAATTTTTTAAAAAAGAAATCCTTAATATAACTCTTTTTATTATTTCATTTTATTTTATATTTATATCTATATATGCATTATATTAATAAATCATTATTTAATAACTTAATTTAATAAATCCCCTTTTTTTCATTTTTTCTTTGTTTTTGTTTGTTACTAGATTAATTTAGTTAAAAAAAGGACAATTAAGATGCCCACATTGCAACTCTATTTAGCTTTTTTTCTTTCTTTTTTTTTAAATTTTTAATTAGATTAATTTATAACAAAATGTGAAGAAAGATTGAGATGCCAAAACAATTTATATTCGAGAGGTTTGGTCCATCTCGATTAAATAAGAGACAATTTTTTTAGATCGAGATCAAGTTGAAATAGATTTTGTTTTTAAAAGAAAAAAGAGATTAGGGAGGAAACATGTTGAGGGTGATCTATCTTGACCAATTTAAAGTATACATAAAAGTATATTTTTATTATTAATTTTATTTTTATATATTTTATGAATAAGGTGATTATTTGGTACTTTAATTTAAGAAATTTTAAAACAATAATTGTGAAATAAAAAAATATTACGAACATATTGAAGGTTTTAAAATTTAAAATTGATTTTTGAAAAAAAAAAAAACTTACCAACATATTGAAAAGTTTTTAAATTTAAGAAAAATAAAAATAAAACAATACCAATATGTTAGAAGGTTTAGAAATTTAAAAATTACTTTTGGAAAATAAATTAAAAAAATACATACAAATGACTTTTGCAAGGTTTGTTTTATAAGGTCAATGTTTACTTTGTATGATGCACCTCATCAACCTTTAATCTTGAAGCATAATGAATTACTTGTTGAGGCATAAAAGTGCAAATGTTTAACCTAACTAGTAGTAAAGGTGTAATTCAACATGGAATAAAGAATAGAATAAAGTATAACTTAAATGGAAAAAGAATATTAATGTAAAAGACATCGATTGTTTTGTTTAAAAATATCGCCAAAATGTTGGAAGGTTTTAAAATTTTTAAAAATAATTTTGAAATAAAAAAATCTTACCAACATATTGAAGATTTTAAAATTTAAAAATGATTTTTGAAAAAAAAAAAAACTTATCAGCACATTGAATGGTTTTAAAATTTAAGAAAAATAGAAATAAAACATTACCAACATATTAGAAGATTTAAAAATTTAAAAATGACTTTTGAAAAATAAATAAAAAAATTACATAAAAATGATTTTTGCAAGATTTGTTTTCTGAGGTCAATGCTTACTTTGGATGATACACCTCATCAACTGTCAAACTTGAAGCATAATGAATTACTTGTCAAGGCACCAAAATGCAAAGGTTTAACCTAACTAGTTGTAAAGGTATAATTCAACATGTAATAAAGATTACAATAAAATGTAACTTAAACAAAAAAAGAACATTAATGTAAAAGACATTGGTTGTTTTATTTTAAAACCTTACCAAAATATTGGGAAGTTTTAAATTTAAAAAAATAATTTTGAAATAAAAAAATCTTACCAATATATTGAAGATTTTAGAATTTAAAAATGATTTTTGAAAAATAAAAAAGCCTACCAACATATTGAAAAAGGTTTTAAAATATAAGAAAAATGGGAATAAAACATTACCAACATATTCAATCATTTAGAAATTTAAAAATAACTTTTGAAGATAAATAAAAAATTTACATAAAAATGATTTTTGTAAAGTTTGTTTTCTAAGATCAATGCTTCCTTTTGTATGATGCACCTTATCAATCTTTGAACTTGAAGCATAATGAATTACTTGTTGGGGTACAAAAATGCAAAGGTTTAACCTAGCTAGTAATTAAGGCATATCTTAACATGGAATAAAGATTAGAATAAAGTATAACTTAAACAGAAAAAGAACATTGATGCAAAAGACATTTGGTTATTTTATTTAAAAAACCTTATTAAAAAATTGGAAGATTTTAAAATTAAAAAAATTGAAATAAAAAAAATCTTACTAACATATTGAAAGTTTAAAAATTTAAAAATGATTTTTGGTAAATAAAAAAACTTAATTACTAACATATTGAAAGGTTTTAAAATTTATGAAAAATAGAATTAAAACATTACCAACATATTAGAAGGTTTAAAAATTTAAAATAACTTTTGGAAAATAAAAAAAATACATAAAAACTACTTTTGTAAGGTTTGTTTTCTGAGGTCAATGGTTACTTTGTACGATGCATCTCATCAACCTTCAAACTTGAAGCATAATGAATTACTTGTTAAGGTACCAAAATGCAAATGTTTAACCTAGTGCAAAGGTATAATTCAATGTAGAATAAAAATTAAAATAAAAGTATAACTTAAATAGAAAAAGAACATTAATATAAAAGATATCAATTGTTTTATTGAAAAATCTCACCAAAATATTGGACGTTTCTAAAATAAAATAAAATTTTTAAAAAAAAAATCTTACCAACATATTGAAGGCTTTAAAATTTAAAAATGATTTTTTGAAAATAAAAAAATCTACCAGCATATTGAAATGTTTTAAAATTTAAGAAAAATAGAAATAAAACATTACCAATATATTAGAAGGTTTAGAAATTTAAAAATAACATTTAGAAAATAAATTTAAAAAATTACTTAAAAATGATTTTTGCAATATTTGTTTTCTAATGTCAATGCTTATTTTGTATGATGCACCTCATCAACCTTCAAACTTGAAGCATAATGAATTACTTGTTGAGGCACCAAAATGCAAAGGTTTAGCCTAACTGGTAGGAAAGGTATAATTCAACTTGGAATAAAAGATTAGAATAAAGTATAGCTTGAATGAAAAAAAGAACATTAATGTAAAAGATATCATTTGTTTTATTGGAAAACCTCACCAAAATATTAGAAGGTTTTAAAATTTTAAAAATAATTTTTAAATAAAAAAAATTACCAACATATTGAAGTTTTTAAAATTTATGAAAAATAGAAATAAAATATTACCAACATATTAAAAGGTTTAGAAATTGAAAAATGACTTTTAGAAAATAAATTACATAAAAATGATTTTTGCATGCTTACTTTGTGTGATGCACCTCATCAACCTTTAAACTTGAAGCGTAATGAGTTACCTTTTGAGGCACCAAAATGTAAAGGTTTAACCTAGCTAGTAGGAAAGGTATAATTCAACATGAAATAAAGATTAGAATAAAGTATAACTTAAACAGAAAAAGAACATTAATGTAAAAGAAATTGTTTGTTTTATTTCAAAACCTTGCCAAAATATTGGAAGGTTTTAAAATTTTAAAAAATGATTTTGAAATAAAAAAATCTTACTAAATATTTAAGGTTTTAAAATTTAAAAATGAGTTTTGGTAAAAAAAAAATTATCAACATATTGAAAGGTTTTAAAATTTAAGAAAAATGGAAATAAAACATTTTCAACATATAACATATTAAAAGTCTTAGAAATTTAAAAATGATTTTGGAAGAGAAATAAAAAAATTACATAAAAATGATTTTTGTAAAGTTTGTTTTCTAAAGTCAATGCTTACTTTGTATGATGCACCTTATCGGCCTTAAACTTGAAACATAATAAATTACTTGTCGAGGAGCCAGAATGCAAAGGTTTAATCTAGATAGTGGTAAGAATATAATTCCACATGGAATAAAGATTAGAATAAATTATAACTTAAATGGAGAAAGAATATTAATGTAAAAGACATCGGTTGTTTTATTTAAAAACCTCATCAAAATGTTGAAAGGTTTTAAAATTTTAAAAAATAATTATGAAATAAAAAAATCATACCAACATATTAAATGTTTTAAATTTTAAAAATGATTTTTGAAAAATAAAAAATTACCAACATATTGAGAAGTTTTAAAATTTAAGAAAATGAAAATAAAACATTACTAACATATTAGAAGGTTTAAATATTTAAGAATGACTTTTGAAAATAAAAAAAAAAATTACATAAAAGTGATTTTTACAATGTTTGTTTTTTGAGGTCAATGCTTACTTTGTACCATGTCTCTCATCAACCTTCAAATTTGAAGCATAATGAATTATTTGTTGAGGCACAAAAATGCAAAGGTTTAACCTAATTAGTAATAAAGGTATAATTCAATATGGAATAAAGATTAAACTAAGGTATATTTAATCGGAAAAGGAACATAAGTGTAAAAAAAAAAATTATATTGCAATATAATGAAGTTATTATATATTTGAAGTAATAAGCAAGGCACAATGATTGGAAATTTGGAATATTGAGAGGCAACGAAAGATATAAAAAGGCAAGACGGTTTATGATAATTTTGCCTGCCTTGGCTTAATTAGATCGAATAGAGAGCAACTTTTTTTTTTTATTATTTTCATATTTAAGTCTAATATTAAACAACAAACCAAACAACTATAGGCAAATTGACGTCTTCATCCTTAACCATGCATTACATTGAACCATATATGTTACAAGCTGAAGAAGATGGAAACTGGAAATACTAGTGTCTTGAATCTCTTGACCGCTGGTGGACGAACAGAACACAATTCTCATATTTACTCAGAACGGAGAGGCAAGTATTACTTGTAGCCAAAATATAGATTGAAAAAAATCATACATTAACTTTTCAGGAAAACTCAGTACGACAAGTGAATCACTGCTATTACAAAACAATCTCTAAGGGAAATCCCATTGCAATTGCAGCACATATGGCCATTTCTGCTATTGTGAAAATCCTTTATGAACCACCAAACTTCTCTCAGGATGAAGATCTGGAGAAGAATTTAGAAGCAACCAGGGTAAGGCAGATGCTGACTATGAGGGATGATCAGGGAAATACTGCTTTGCATAAGGCGGCTCGATATGGTCAAGTTGAGGTGCTGCGAGAATTGATGAAGGCATTAAACTCTCATCATCATTACTTTTCAATATTCTCCGCTAATAAAAGCGGTGAGACTCCACTCTACATAGCCGCCATTGAAAAATATCCTCTTTTTGTGGCCGAGTTATTGCATACTTGCAATTCAACGTCAATGCCTTACGGCGGCCCCCATGGTAGAACAGCTTTGCATGCAGCAGTCATGGCCGGATATAAAAGTAAGCTAGCTCATTACTTATTTGCTCATTTTTCTTTTTTCTACTTCTATTAATTTGTTTTCATGCTCATTTGATTTTAAAATGAAAATAAATAAGGACAATGATATTTGAATACTAATTCTATCAGAATTAATTTTAAAAAATAATTTAATCTCATCTTTTGATTTTATTGAATTCAATAATTAGAAAAAAAATTGATATTAGTTGATCCATTCTCATTATTAATAATATAAAGCATACACACATTGAAAAACTTGTAAACTGAAACCAGGTATTTTTGTTTACTAAATTTTTAAATTGTCATTTTCAATTAAAACTTTTTTATCATAATTTCAAATTTTAATAATAAAATTAGTATTTTAGATACAAAAAGAAGTTTAATTATTTAAATTATTATTATTAAAATAATTATTTTTGGATAATGATTTTCAGATAGCTTTTATTGATTAGTTTATCAAATACTGGTAAAGTTAATTAGAGTTTATGAATAATTAAACTTCATATTATATATATATATGTATGTGTGTGAGATTTTTTTTTTTTTTCAAATCATTTTGGATTGACTTAAACATTAATAGTGTATATACTCATATTTTTTATTAATAAATTTTTTGTATAATGATTATTTAAATATCTCTTAAATGGTTAATTATCAAACGGAGCAAAATTCACACTCCACCTTTGATCTTATACAAGTAAAAGTAATATTATACATTTTGCTAAAGTAGTATCATACATTTTGCTTTGAATTTGAGTTTTCATTTATAAAAATATTTTTTTTTATCTAAACACCTTTTTCTTATTTTTGAAAGTAAAAAAATAGTTATTTGTTATCTGTTCAAACCTATGCACATGTGGACATTTGGAAGCTCTTAAAATAAGGATTAGCATTGTATACAATCACGTTTATAGAATTATCGCATTATATTAACATATTGATCTTTTAATTATATCTTAAATGACATTTGGCTACTCTTTAAACATGTTTATAAAATTTATAACTGGAGTCTTAATTCTAGTAAATCAAATCAGGGCTCTAATTCTAAAATTCTTAAGTACTAAAAAAATTAAAAACCATCTATTTTTGTGTATAAGATAAATATTTATTATATTAATTTACTTAATTATATTTTAATAGATATGTGAAAAATGATAACACATTGAACTTGTTTTGTGAAATTTAAAAAATAATTTTTTATTAATATAATATAATAATATATAAACCAAAATCACCAATTATTTTTTTAAGTAATTAAATTCCTTCTTGATCACTTAAGTTTCTTTTAGAAAAAAAAAACACAATTATTTTGCTTACTCATGAACTTATGAAAAACAATGTTTTGGATACTCAGATTTATAAGTGTTTATTCTTTTGATCACTGAGTGTTAAATGATGATTATAACATATCTTTCTCCTTAACATTTCATGTCATGTGACATATCAGCGTGCATGGCAAAAATAATAACACTTGTATACGTTCTAAACTATTATTTTCAAATTGAATAATCAAAAGAAAATCTTAAAATATTAAGGGAATAAAAAGAGATAATTTTAATCCTAATATGTTTTTCTACAATAAAAGTTATAATTTGGGATAAAAAAAAAAGATTACTAGTGTTAGAATTTAAATTCTAAACTTATTAAATTTAAAGATAGTTGAATAAATTAATTGAGTTAAATTAATTTTTTTAAAACCTATAATTATATTCAAATATTATATCTATATAATCAATTATTGCATCATAATTAAATTACAATAATTGAATAATCAATTAATAAACTACTACTTAACTAAATAATCAAATTCACATGCCATATATATAGCTTAAATGTAGGATGTCAGAGTTTTACATCATATATTCGAACTTTTTAAAATGAATTGTGTTTTGTTAGGGACAACGGAAATACTGTTAAAGGAAAAAATGCATTTAGCCAAAGAAACCGACGATAAAAGGCGGACTCCACTTCACTATGCTGCGCATTTGGGTCGCCGTCCAATTGCAAAACTGTTGTTAGAGACCGATGCATCTGCTGCTTATATGACTGATGAAGAGACAGGCACGACGGCACTTCACATGGCAGCTTGGCGAGGACATATAGGCGTAATGGAAGACATTATCACCTATTGTCCAGGTTGTCGCGATATTGTTGACAAAAATGGCAGGAATTATCTTCACTTCGCCATCGTTGCTTTAGAACCCACACAATTTACGATCTTAATAAAGGGTTATATTATCAGTGAGGAGATTTCTCTTCGAAATCTTTTGCACCAAAAGGATGTCAATGGGAGCACGCCTCTCGATGTCATTAATTTTGGACCTACTCATCTGCGCGTTAAAAGTACTTTTTTAGCAGCTAGTATTCTTAAAGCTCATGGATTTGGACGACTGGTTTATGGAATTTCAGATCCAAAAATGGAGGTAGGCAGCTGGCTCCACCCTGCTTAAATTAATTTTTTCCTGTGGCCTTTTTTTCTATATTATTGGTGAAGTTTTTAAATTTTCATCAGTGATATTGGAATGTTGTCACATACATATCCTATTACGTACTTTTTATATAAATTTCTTAATCTTTTTTAAAAATGTGGCATCCTCTAACTTTGCAGGTGAAGATTTTAAATTACATTGGTGATGGATGAGATAATTTTTTTTTATTGTATATACATACATAATATAATAAAATTTTGTGTCAATTTCTTAATTAAAATAAAAAATTTATAATATAATGTATCAAATAATAATTTTTTGTTTCTATATGAAATTTTACTATGCTTCACCCCAGGATTTTACTTTGAAAATTAAACCTTAAGCTCTAATTATTGAGATGTCTTCTTAATTAGAGACAAATATCTTAGTAGCAAATAATGGAAGGTAAATATTTGATCAAAAGATTGGATAGAAATAAAGATAAAGTTTGGTTTATGAAGTTTAAAAATCCCATCTCTAATGTATAGATGACAAACGCTAATCATTAAGCCTGAAATTGACGATTAATGATAAATATGTTATGCAGAAACTGGTTCAGGAAATGTTGAAAGAGATAGGGGATAAAGCAGAAGTGGCAGGGGTACCGGTTCACAACTCCTTCCGCGAGTGTTTTGTGTGGAAGGATGATGGGGCCAAAGGGGAGAAAATCGAGATTCTGAATAAAGCAACCAATGCCCATTTGTTGGTTGCAACGCTAGTAGCAACCGTAACATTTACTGCAGCATTCACGGTGCCTGGTGGATACAAGAGCGAGCAAGGCACTGCAACCTTAAGTCGTGACTCAGCTTTTAAAGCCTTCATTATTACAGATACCCTCGCATTTGTTTTCTCCCTTTTAGCCATCGCCCTGCATTTTACTGTAGCGTCAGAATCTAGGAAGCTAGTTCAATACCTTCTTGAGTATATTCAAGTGGCCGATTACTTAACTTGTCTCGCAATGGCTGCCATGGTGATTGCTTTTAGCACAGGCACTTACGCTGTGTTAGAATCTTCCTCGGGGTTTGCTATTGCTGCTTGTTCCCTTGGGATCAGCTTCTTTCCCGGCCTGATCATTGTAACTTTAATTCTCGCCTGGTTATCCACCCGTTAGACAACTGGTCCTAAACCACAAACCTTGTGGAAAATAAAAAATAAAATAAAAAAGACTTTTCTTTTTTATATATGAAATGCAATTTATTTAAACAAAATAATAAACAAATAAAATGCAAATGTTTATTTCTATATATATGAACCATACGAAATAAAGGCTATTTCAATATTCAAGGATTCAATATATATACATATATATATTATTTAAAGTTAATAAAAATTAATATTCAAGAATTATGAGACTCGAGCAGCCAAGATGCGCCGAGGGAAACAAGAGAGAATAATAAGGAGAAAGAAAAAAAGAAGAGCTTTTGTTCTTTTATTGTAATCTACTTTTCTGGAGTTGGTTTTAGGGTTTTGGCTATATATCTATCTATCTAATATTATTATTAAAAAAACACATGCAAGTCTCACGGATTTTACGTTTTTTGTAGTGAGGAAAGGCGGATTTTGATATGTCCAAGGGTCGAAAGGATATAGATCCAAATCAATTCGGCTGAGCTTGGGTCAAGAAATTAAATGTTTGAGTCCGACTTGATTTTAAATATTTAAAAATTAATAAAATATTTTATTTAATATTTTTAAAAATTCAAGTCTATTGAATCGAGTGGGGCTTAGATAAGGATTTTCCAAGTCCAATAATATCAGACGTTGGATAAAACCTCAATCATTATTATTTACATTATAATTTTTTGAAATAAAGAGACTTTTCAAAAGTGTTTGATCGCGCTAAAATAAAGCATGAATTTAATAAAAATTAAATTAATTTTAATTATAATTTTTTATTTCAAGTTTTCAACTAAATATCAAACGTGCATGTTTTTCCTTTCCTTTTTAACTCATTATAATTTCTTATTTTCATATAATTCTTTACTTTTAATTTTATTCTAAAATGGCATCTCATGTTTTTCAATTCAAAAATTAAAGATTGAGATCACTTTATAAAAGATTATTATAAAACACCATACCTTCTAATCTCAAATTTTCTCTCCACTTTTTCAAAAGTGTTTTTCAAATTTGATAATAGTTCTTAACGGGAAATCTTTTGTATAAATGTTGCAAATTTACACAAGAAATTACCAGTTCTTGGCCATGTGGCTTTTTACGTGCAATCCCTTGTTTTTTTTAACGAGGTCCATATGTTTTTTTTTTATTTAAAAGTTGTCATATTTTTTTTTGTAATTTTTTTAGGGTGTGAAATCCACACCTTGGTTTCCCTTTTTTTTTTCTCTTTTTTTTTAATTAATGTGGTCTACCTACTTTTATTTTTAAAAACTTTTTAAAAGTGTAGGGCAACATTTTTTAAATTTTTTTGGGTGTGGGATCCACGTCTTGGTTTTATTTTTTTTTATTTTTGGTTTTTTTTTTTCATTTTTAAATTTGCAGGGCCCATCCGTTTTTTATATTTTTTTAATTTTTAAAAGGTGTGAGACCTACATTCTTCTTTTAGGTGGGATTTATTTTTTTCCCAACTAATTTTTTTATTAATTTTTACCTTTTTATTGTGGGCCTATATTTTCTTTTTTTTTTTAAATTTAATAAAAATATTATATTTAGACATATTTAAAATTTAATTCATCCGTGCATCTAACTTTTTTTATAAATAAATCATGTATATGTATGGATATACATTAATGCCATATGTTATCCACATTAACTTTTAAAGGTTGATACAAGCAATCTCTTTAAATTTTTAATAAATCTTTTTTTAAGGGGTGACATCCATTTTTTAAAATTTTTTTCTTGAACCATCTTTTTGGTTTTTAAATATGAGACTCACATTTTTTTCGTGAGACTCACTTTTTTTTTTATTTTTTCCTTGTTTAATTTGTTTTTTATTTTATTTTAATTCTTTTTTAATGTGATCTTCTTTTTCAATTTATTCGTTGAACCTTTTTTTTTCTTGATTTTTTCTTTGGTATCATGTGTTATTTATTTTTTTTCTTTTTTAAATGTTTGATAAATATTTTTTATTTGTTGGAAGAATCAACTGATATAAAATTTTATCCATTTTTTCTCCTTTTCTATGGAAGATTCAATAATTTTTTTTTTTACTTTTATTGCCTTTTTATAAAAAAAGGTATGCCCTGAATTTTTTTTTTTTCCATTTTTTATATATTTAATAAAAAAATTTTAGATTTAATATTTTATGACTAACTTGACCTTGATTGTATACATATGAAGTTATTTGATTTTTTTCTTTGCTTTTTTAATCTTTTTCTATTTTACTATTTCCCTTATTTATTTTAATTAAAAAATTGAATTTTTTAAAAATTTAAGACTCATTTTATATATTATTAAAATATATTTTGTGTTATTTTATTAATTTTGCAAAAAGATACTGACAAATATGTTTGATGTTACATCTAGATTTAATTTTTTTCGTTTCTTTTTTAGATTTAAATTTTTCTTGTTGTTGAGATCCACTTATACTAAACGTACGTCCACAGTTTACTTTTTAAATTTTTTTTTTCCTCTTATAATTATTTTTATTCTATTTAATAAATATTTTAATGAATTTAAGATTTTTTTTGTTCGTGACCTTTAATGTTAAGTGTATATCACGTATCTAATCATTTGCTTTTTTTTTTTTAATTTTTTACTATTATTTAATTTTTTTTAAAATATTTCTAAAATTTTCTAAAAAATTTAAGTCATTTAATCTTTTTGATTTCATATATATTTTTTATTTGATAATTTTAAAAAGATGATAATACAGATTTGATTTTTTTTTATTTTTTTAAAAAGAAATCCTTTAATATAACTCTTTTTATTATTTCATTTTATTTTATATTTATATCTATATATGCATTATATTAATAAATCATTATTTAATAACTTAATTTAATAAATCCCTTTTTTGTTTTTCATTTTTTCTTTGTTTCTGTTTGTTACTAGATTAATTTAGTTAAAAAAAGGACAATTAAGATGTCCACATTGCAACTCTATTTAGCTTTTTTTCTTTCTTTTTTTATTATTTTTAATTAGATTAATTTATAACAAAATGTGAAGAACGATTGAGATGTCAAAATAATTTATATTCGAGAGGTTTGGTTCATCTCGATTAAATAAGAGACAATTTTTTTAGATCAAGATCATGTTGAAATAGATCTTGTTTTTAAAAGAAAACAGAGATTAGGGAGGAAACATGTTGAGGGTGATCTGTCTTGACCAATTTAAAGTATATATAAAAGTATATATTAATTATTAATTTTATTTTTATATATTTTATTAATAAGGTGATTATTTGGTACTTTAATTTAAGAAATTAATATTTTAAGCTTAATGAAAGTCTTTATATGGCACTTTTTATGAGCTTTTTTTTTTTGTTTCTTAGTTTTTTATTTTTTATATTTTTATATTTTATTTTTTAAAATTAGATAACTTCCCTAAAAAAAAAAGTCAATCAAAATAACCACATCTCATCCCCAATTTGTTTTTTTGTTACCTTTCACCTTTTTTCATTTTAGATTAAGTGAATTTCGTAATAAAAAACCAATTAAGTAGATATGACAAAATTAAAAAATTTTTTACTAGCAGCAATGCACGGATATTTTGCTAGTTCATAACATAAATGTTGCATATGTCTTGGGCTACGTGTTGCTCCTGTGTTTTTTTTTCTTAATACGTAATAATGTTTTAAAATGATAAAAAAATATATTTTAAAGATTTTATTTTATTTTTGTTTAAGACTTATTTATACCAAAATTTTGTTTTTATTTTGCTTTTTTTTTTTCTTTTTTAAAAATATTTAATATATATGTTCTAGATTTTTTTTGTGTAGGATTCACTTATTATTAAATGTATGTTATGTATTTTTTTTTCTTTTATACTTTTCCTTTCTTCTATTTTTTATATTTTAATAAATAATTTTTTAATTTTTAATTTTTTTTGTCAAATCCACTTTATATCAAAAGTATGTCACATATCAAGTTATTGAGTCTTTATTTTTCATTTATTATTTTCTTATTTACTTTTTTTCAAATGTTTAGTAAACATTTTTAAAAAATTTAAAATTTCTTAAATATGAGTTCCATATGATATTATTATTTAAAATATATATTTTTATTTTTTAAGTTAGAATTTTTAAAAAAATATTAGTAGAGATGTCAATGTCATATCCGAATTTAATTTTTTTCTTTTTTCAGTCCTTTTCCTTTTTTTTTTAGCTTTTTGGCTTTTTCAAAATTATAGCATAAAATTTTCAAGAAAAGCTCATCATTATTGATGTTAAGTGGCTATTCAACTTTTTTTTCTTTTATCTCTTTTCTTTTCATTTCTTTTCTCTTTTTTAGTTTTTTCTTTCTTTCTTTCTTTTTTCAATTAGATCATTTTTTGAAAAAAAAAATCAAATGAGTGTGTACAGTGACACTCTATTTTTTTTTTTACACATTCTTTTATTTTTTATTTGATTTTTTTCATAAAAAAATTGATAAATAAAATTTTAAAGATAAACATCAATGAAGGTATGTATAACAAAACAACCCTCTTTGATGGATTTTTATCCGAACCCAATAGATTTTTTTTTTAATTTGAGATTAGATCGATTTTTAAAAAAAAAATGGGTCAAGTTGGATACAAATTTAAGGTGTGTTGTCCCATTGAGTTTTATATAAATAAATATTTTATTATTAATTTAATTTAATTTATATATTATATAAAAAAATTATTATTTGATACCTTAATTTAATAAATTCATGTGTCATTTCCATTTTGTTTTTTTTTTCCTACCATTTTTTTAAATAAACTTTTTTAAATTAAATAAATTTTGTAAAAAAAATCAATAGATGTAATGGTGATAAAACAACCTATATTTCATAGGTTTCTATTCAATCTGATCTAATATGTGCCTATCCATTAAAAATTCAAGATCAATTCAAAATTTTTCCTTTTTAAAAGTTGAGGTCGGTCGAATGTAGGCTTAGGGTCTTCCGTTTTATCTTGAGTTAATATATAATTATATTTTAATTAATTATTTAATTTTATATTTATATAAATTAT